AAAAAAAATACTTATTTCTTTAAATTAGGAGGAAGGATTAGCCATGAACTTTTTTGCCTCCCATATTTTCAAGAACCCCCTGAAATGAAATAGAGAAGTACAGAACAAGAGTAGGAAGGTATGACATCCTTTATTTTATATCAGATTTTATCCGTATGGTCCCAAGATGGGCATTACAGCTTCAGGCATACATATTCACCCAGTAACTTCAGGAGAAACAAGTACAAACTAGAATAACTATTCCTTCTTTTGTGTTTAACAAAGGAACATTTTTGTAGAAGATCTTAGCTAAGTTTTTCTCTCATTTCATTAGGCAAAATAGGGTCATTTACCCCTTTTCAAACCAATCAAGAGATTCCTGGGCTGGGAAGAAGGTAACCTTTACTGAACACATATCCTCCTGAGGGAGGGAGAACACTCACAGTTGAGGCTCTGTTAATAAGAAAGTGGCTGGGAGAAATAAAATTGTTCCCACATTTAAGCCCTTTAACTCAATCTCCAAGCCCTCCTTTGCCTTCTAAACTCTTCTTCTGTGTTCATTAACCCTTTAGATCTGCAAACAACAATTCGCCTATATCTTCAGCACCTTCTCTGAATGTTTCCCTGACCTCCTTGTCTTTCTTTTCTTTCTTTTTTTTTTTTTTTTTTTTAATTTGTTTTTCCAGGTGGAGTTTTGCTTTTGTTGCCCAGGTTGGAGTGCAGTGGTACGATCTCAGCTTACTGCAACCTCTGCCTCCCAGGTTCAAGCGATTCTCCCACCTTAGCCTCCTGAGTAGCTGGGATTACAGGTGCACGTCACCATGCCCAGCTAATGTTTTGTATTTTTAGTAGAGGTGGGGTTTCATTATGTTGGACAGGCTGGTCTCAAACTTCTGACCTCAGGTGATCCATTGTCCTCGGCCTCCCAAAGTGCAGGGATTACAGGCATGAGCCACCATGCCCAGCCAACCTCCTTGTCTTAACTGGTTTCCTCTGAGGACTCTGCTCACCTGCAGGCTGTTTTATTTCCCATGACCCCACATATCTCATGACTAAAGTTCAGCTAGGAGGCCTTCTTACTCTCCACTGGCTCTTTCAAATATATCTCTTTCTTCTTTCCAAACTAGCAGTTTTTTTGAAACTTACACCAAAAGTCACCACCCACTACACCTTCTAGGCACTGTCATCTACAAAACTTTAGGTCATGCCTCTTCATTCATTAAAGTTGGGGGCCCCTAATATGCTGTATTTCCCACTATCTCTGTTCTTGTCATCATTCTTGGTGTGTAATTTTTGTATTTGGTTGGATGCAAAAGAAAGAAAAAACAACACCAACAAGATATTTAATCATCATGAAAACCATTCAAAGATTGCTTATCAACCTATGCATAATCCCAGCACTTTGGGAGGCCAAGGCGGGTGGATCACCTGAGGTCAGGAGTTTGAGACCAGCCTGTTCAACATCTCTACTAAAAGTACAAAAACTAGCCGGGTGTGGTGGTGGGAGCCTGTAATCCCAGCTACTCAGGAGGCTGAGACAGGAGAATCGCTTGAACCCAGGAGGTGGAGGTTGCAGGGAGCCGAGATTGTGCCACTGCACTCCAGTCTGGGCAACAGGGCAAGAGTCTGTCTCAAAAAAAAAAAAAAAAAAAAACCTCCGCCATCCTACTGCATTGCATGAGCTATATATATAGACTGAGTCTCTCTTCAAGTGATGTTCATTCCTACTCATTCTTTTCCTGTATCACCAAAAAAGCACCCCAAAACAGACATTTTGAACTGACCTCTTGATATCTGATGTGCCTTGATAATAAATAGCTAAAATTGAATAAGAACATTATAGCTGATTTATTCCTCCTTACAATAGCTCTCAAGTTCATCCATAGACAATAACATGGAACTTTGTGATCTCATCACTCATCTGTTGTTACAGCGCAGATGGGTAGAAAATAGAGATACTACTCAACTTATGGTGAGGTTATGTCCCTACAAACTCACTGAAAGTCAAAAATACAACTAAAATGAAAATGCATTTAATACCCTGATAAATCCAGCATAAAGTTGAAAAATTCTAAATCAAACAGTCATAAGTCAGGGATTGTCTGTTAACTGTAGTGTATGTACTTCACTGGGTGTATTTGTCTGTAGGGTTTAACTGGAGTATTAGAAGAAAAGAAGAGAAAGAATGGTGCAGAAAGATATTTTAAGAAATAATAAACAAGACCTTCCTAAAATAATGGAAGACATAAATTTACATTGTCAA